TTCCATGGTCTAGAAACCAAACAGAATCTAGCCTGAAGTTCATTTCCTTCTCTTTCCTCAAAATCTGCCATGATTTCAAACAGGGAGAAACAATGGCTACCTGAACCAAGCCCTACAGTATCTTAGTCTTTTATACACCTTCTCTATCTACCATAATTTAAAACAAATCATTAACATTTGCATCAAGGAGAAAGCAGAGTTCATAGGTTACTGCCAAGTACTGATACGGATTTTTTGGAAACGCACTGAGTGTCATATGTTTTTTACCATGTCCAAGGTCAAATGACAATACAGTAACTCTGCCATAATGCTATAGGTGGGGTCCCCTGCACGCAGTCCTATTAAAATGGAGAGTTGCATTATTAACACAGTAATGACGTGGGTGGTCACATCTGAGCAGCTAGTGGGTCAGGAATTAAAGTGGGGTGGAGCACAGGGGGAGTACAGGGCTTACTGCAAAACCTAAATCTCCCTGTGTCCAGGCCTCAGTTTGGCACTACACCATGGTTGATGTCAGATCAGACGTAAGTACTGACGAGGAATTCTGGGTTCTGTGGCCAGCAGAGACTTTCAGCATTTCAGCACTCATCTAGTTCACAGGAACTCATTTTACTTCCCTGCCTCTCAAGACTGCTCCAAAGACAAGAACTTTAGCCTGTACAGGTTAAGAAAGAGAAGGGCCACAGGGCAAAGAATGGGAGCCAATCACCAACTGCATTATATTTAAATTGTTACCATTTTGGTGGGAAGGGTATTTTAATACTTTCTATTTAACTCCTCTAGAATAGTCTTCATAGTTTTCAAAACATATTCCTTTTTATGGGTCTGAACAAGAAAAAAAAATACTCCAGCAATTTAAAATACAAGCAAGTCCACCTGTTTATCTTTCTCGTATTCCTCGTACTTTTCACCTATCGCATTTCCCTTGAGAATAGGTTGTTCAGGAACTAGGTGATTGATAAAATTAACACAAGCTTGAACAGGGTATAATTTACTACCCGTGATGCCTTCAAGACAGTCACAGATTCATAAGACTGCCTATACTTCCAACTGTGCCAAGCCAAAGGGACCAGAGTTCATCCTATTTTTAAAGATAACCAGAGCTAAGCATCTGCCTTCGGCTCAGGTCATGATCCCGGGGTCCTGGGATCGAGTCCCGCATCGGGCTCCTTGCTCAGCAGGGAGGCTGCTTCTCCCTCTGCCTGCTGCTCCCCCTGCTTGTGCTATTTCTCTCTCTCTGTGTATCAAATAAAAAATTAAATCTTTAAAAAGATAAAAAATAAAGATAACCAAAGAATCAGTTTTTTGTTCCCAAGAAATCCAGCTTTCACCAACATCCACTAAATCTTCAACCTAGTTCTGCCACCCTCACTCCCACTTTGTTTTAGACAGTAGTGGAGAGATATTCTTTCTTGTAAAGATTTTTGTTCATAAAACCTTTCTTTAGTATCTGGTCCAGCTAAAGCACAGGGCAATAAAGCCATCATCAGCAATGATAGTGTTTGCAGATATTCTAGGTCTAGAAATCATTGCTGGCATGTCTACGCGCTCAAAAAATTCTCGGAAGTCGGGTGGTTTCTAGAAAGCTTGTGCTTTCTTCTGAGAAACTTCTAAGAAAAGCTCAAGGACCAAGATATTAAAATAAACACATCAGCTTGGTGACCACGTGACTCAGCTAAGCCATGGTTATTGACCCTTCTCCAGATTAAAATAGGGTGAATAGGAACATGGGAGTGGGTGGCTACCTTTGAGGCAAGGTTCGAGGGTCACTGTTGAAGCTTTTTGCCTCATAACATCAAGTCTACCACCTATCATTTAAGCTATGTGACTTTGCTTCTTGAGGGCTTTTTCTTCCCTTATTTAGTGCAAGCCTTATTTAATAATGCAACCATCTCTGGGAAGGATTACATCTGAAACCATTATCTGGTGAGGACCAGTGCACAGAGCATTTGGGAGGAAGAGTGAAGCATGGACATGGGGTGGGGTGGAACTGTGAGAAGGAAAGACGAAATCAATGAAAAAGGAGGTAGAGGGCCACCAAATTTTGCTTTCCTCCCAATTTAGCCTAAAACTGTTAGCCTAAAATTGTTTGAGGAAAATCTGTCCTTCCTTTTGGATGTTATTTTATTGTTTTTCAACTTCCATGCAAAATTTTCTGCTCATCACCTAACACTCATCTTACAATATGGAACCTCTCTGTCCTGTATAGACCAGAGGAATAAGTTACCCGTACATCTGTTAGTCTTTGCATAAGATGAAATTGCCTATTTTAAATATTTCTAGTTTTTTTAGATAGTTTAATGCCCCATTGCTTCTTATTAGTTACTTCCTGCTGTTCAATTAGGTGAAATGCTTTGTGTGATTCCTGGTCAGTAAATACCCTCCCTGGGCTCAGAATATATTTTTAATTTTTTATTGTGAAGTAGACATCCATAAAAGTGAAACAACGTGAATGTGTATACTTAATAAATAGTTAGGATATGAACACCCATGTAACTTCCAACTGGATCAAAAGGTAGGATACTGCAAATATCCCAGAGAGCCACCCTGATCACAAACTGCACATTTCTCTCTTCTCACTTTTATGATGATGATTTTCTTCCTCTTTTTTTCTTTGTAGTTTTACCTACTATTTATGTCCCCAAGCAACATCATTTAGTTTTGCCTTTTCCTGTGATCTACAAATGGAATCACACTCTCTATTCTATTATTCTCGCATCTTTGACTCAAAATCATTCATCCATCATGTCACACAGAGCTGCAGTTTCTTCATTTTCGTGGCTGTCGCGTATTCCAGTGTACATAGCGCTCTTTTAATCCATTCTCCTTCTGACAGACAGTTGGGTTGCTGCCAGGTTCTAGCTGTTATGAATAATGCTGCCACACCTGGTGTCCCTGCCCCTGGTGTGTGTGCTCCTGAGTGCCCCCAGTGAGTACATCTATGACTGGACATGCTGGGGCATGGTACATGCAGATCTTCAACTTCATTTGATAATAGGAAGCCGTTTTTTCCAAAGTGCTTGTTCCAATTTATATTGCCCATCCTAGTGTATAAGAATTCCTGTTGTTCTAGGGGCGCTGGGTGGCTCAGTCGGTTGAGTGTCGGACTCTTGACTTTAGCTCAGGTCATGATCTCAGGGTTGTGAGATCGAGCCCCGTGTTTGTCAGATTCTGAGCTGAGCATGGAGCCTGTCTCTCGCCCTCTGCCTCCAACCCCTCTGGCATTATAATAACTTTGATGTTGTTGTCCTTACAGAACTGGCATTTGAGGGACACAGGCATACAGAACCATGCCTGTGCCCCTCAAAACTTAAAAACTCTTTCCAGGAATCATGCTTCCTCCCCAAGATGGACCCTCCGCGGGAGCAAAATCAGGATCAATATCATCTGGTAAAGTCATTGTATTAAAAACTATACCAACATTCAAAGAAAATAAAAAAGAAAAGTATAAATAGAAACCATGCCAACAGAATTTTAAAGGTAGCCTGGTTGGTGTGACTAATTAAACAACTGCATTTCAGGTCAGTTTTCCAGTACCGCTCCAAGATCCAATCCATTAATATTTAGATAATTGAAAGGGTCTCTAACATTTGGTGGGATTTCCCTCATGAGAGTAGTTCATGAGATACTTTAGTCACATGTTTCATTTTCTACCTGTGACAGACACTTGTGAGATGTTCAACACAATCCTGCAGTTACAGAATATTCAGTGACAGTCAAAAATGAAAGTAACAGAAGATGAGAGTGACATAAACTATTCTCTAAGAGACACATTTTTATACAGGCAATCAATTTATTAGGACACTCAACAAAGGCAAGCAATGGACACTTTTTAAAAAAGGAATTTAAAACTAATGAAAGAATAAACATCAAGCAAAGCTCCTAAGAATTTATATGTTATTAATGGTGCCTTTTTCCTTTTACTATAAAGGTCTAATAAAAAGCCTGTAAATCCTGCAGATACAGAAACAATTTTCAAGGAATCAAATTAACCAGAAGCAGTGACTCAGGTATGATATTGCCTACAAAAGGGGATGGACCAAGGTAGCTTTCAGTATCCCTCCTTGGATGCTAAGAATAGCTCTCAGGACAGGAGCAGCTAGCTTTCTGCATGTAAGTCCTCTCTCTAGTATCTCTACGAAATGATCTGTCAGTGGGATCTGATCTAAAACTTTTCCCAGTGATGTAGACACTCTGGTGACCTGTACCCTTGTCGCCAACAACTTCAAACAGGCTTGGACTTCACATCTATGAATATTAACCTCACATTTATCCCACTCTATAGAAACAAACCGTAAAAACGATTGTATTAAATACTTCTATATACTTTCACACATTTTGGGAGGTTCACTATTCTTTACTTCCCTCCAAGATACAAATTCTTGCTTATAAAAGTGCTACTAGCACAGTGTAGCATACTTTCTATTTGTCCATATACCCCCATTCTCTCCTGTATGACCAAATGACTACGAAGATTTAGAGGTTCAGTGATTATAGGACTTAATGATTTTAACCCCTTTAAATTTGGAAACTCTTTAAATCCCATTATCTCTGCAGCCACGGAGAATTTTAAAAGCAGCTTGGCCTTTCTGGCTCCAGGTATAAGGATCACAGAGTTTTAAAGAATATAAATGCTTCTCTGCAGTTCTACAAAGAGCTGTCCCCAACCAGTTAACCTCCAGGAAATAAAGCCAGCCCGTTCTCCAGCTGGTAACTGCTGATCAGAGTTTCAAAATAGAAAGATATGTATGCTATGCCACAAACCACCAGGAAAACAAGTAATTGCCTCCTCAACTCCACGTGAAGCTAGTGAATCTGAAGATTCGATGTAGCGGGGGCCGGCAGATTTCAGACATGTGTCAGTAAATGTCTAAGAATGAGAAAATAGAAAATGCTGGGGACCCAAAGGAGCTTGTAGGGGCAGAGAGAGTATGTTCAGTGATTTGGGAGCCTGTTACCTTGGATACCCATGAATCCTAGGAAACCCTCTGAGGTCTTACCTCTTGTGTCTTCACATTTATGTATCCATAGTGAGTTCGAAGGGGCCGCCTATATGTGTAGGAGAATGGTATCCATTTTGTGCCAGGCTGTCCAAAGCAGTTTAGCAGCAGTGGGAAATTCACTTCATTTACAAGGCGCACAACCAGCAGGAAGAGGAACGCTGCTATGAAGCTCACTGCGATCATAGACTTTCTCTACAAAACATTAAAAAAAAAGAATGAACGAACGAATGAATGACTTTCAACCAAAAGTCGTCACAGAGGGAGGGTCCTCTGTTTCTCTCTCTCTTTCTTCCAAAGGGATCAAAGCACTTTTCCATTTAGGATATTTCACTTGGAGACAGAGTATAATCATTTGGTGACCAGGTTGCTTTCGTGAGCCTCTGAGAGCAAGCAGAGCAGCTTTCGTAGATTATACTTCCTTCCATCCCTATCCTTCCTTACTTCTCTATATTCCTCAACAACTTCTACTCAATTTTCAAAATGCAAATTCAGACATTCCCAACTATAGGAAGCCCTATACTGCTTCCTAACTGCTCAGTTAGGACTTCCTAACTGCTCAGTTCCCTCAGACCATCATCCCTTCACCCCAACCTATCCACCCTAATAGAAACAAGCAGTCTTGCCACTCCTATTCTTTGAAGGCACTTCTATTGTTGCATGTGCTTCATTGTATAATTATTTCAATGACTTTTCCTCCATCTAACTGTGACATCCTGGAGAACAAGAATGTACTGTCATATTGACCTCTGTATGCCAGGTCCTTAACACAGTACCTTACATATTGTAGGGGTCCAAGAAACATTTGAGTGAATCAATGAATGAACGAATGAAGGGATGGATTTTTCACATCCTTGTAGACACTTTATCAACAATGACTTTGTTTCTTTATCTAGCACCTACGACAGGCAGGAAACTTTGCCTGTGCTATAGGATATACAAAAGTAAGACGCAAAAAGCTAAGAATATGCCTAGGACAAAATCCATGCCAAGCAGCATAAGAACATCCCTGTAAATGTGTTGCTGTGGAGCAAGAGCAGGAACAACAGCATCTGACTGGGGTCCGGGAAAGTAGAGATGTGGTTGAGATTGAGCCAGATAAAATGCATGAGTTTCATTCAGTAGAGATGTGTGAGTGAAGCTTTCCAGGTAGAGGGGACAGGGCAAGGCAGCAAGAAAATATGGGGTTGTTCATAGATACATAGCACTTTGTCTTCCTGGGGCACAGAGGAGGAGAAAAAGCTGGAAACACAAATGATAACTTGATGAACTGCCTGAAATACCAAGCTGAGAATTCTACTGAGTTTGCTGGGTGATGGAACACCAAAGGAGGTTTTGTTTATTTGCTTGCTTAATTTCTTAAAGGTGACTGTTATAAGTTATAATCCAACATCAGTGCTTAAGATGTTTTGGAGCAGGGAGACACTAAAGCTAGGCAGCAACTCCTTAGGAGGCTACTCCCACTGGCTCAGACAGAAGTAATGAGGGATGGAAACTAGGAGTGGCAAGGGGAATACAAAGGCAGAAAAAGATATGAGAAACTCAATGTAGGTGGTAGGCAGAGACCGTGGCTCCCGATTGGATAGAGGTGCAGATGGGAAATTCAGAGATGCCTAGAGTTTGAGTCTAGGTAACTGTATGAATCCTGGTCCTATCAGGAGAAACCAGGGTGGTCAGAGCAAGAACTGATTTAAAAGAATAAGAGGATAAAGCCCTTGGCTTTCAAAGTCCTAGTTTTCATCCAGATGGTGGGTCATCTGAATGGAGCCACCCAGGAGTCAGGTGTCAGGTGGAAGGTCAAGTCTAGAGCAAGAAGAAAGAGCAGAGTGGAGGGCAGATGTCAGGAACAACTCTGCCTTGAAGTCCGGGGTGAAGACACAATGAGATATTGCTTCACAAAGCTGGGCCTGGCCCTTGATTCTTCTTTAAACTTAAGGAAAGCCAAATAACTTTCCAGGAATGACTGGCTACGTGTTGTTGTGTTTCCAGCTTACCACTTCCTGGTGAAATGAGCTTCTTTTTGCTCTTCACAGAACGTCCCAAAGGAGAAAAGAAACCCAAAGCCAGCCCCTGTTCTTCACTGGGTCACGGTCACCATCTCTGCAAGGAAAAGCCAGAGACCCCAAAAGAAGTCTTCGCTCTTGCTCAGCTCCCATCATTTATAAAAGCCCCATTCCTCTGTCTAGCCAGCCTAATTTTCCAATCACCTGAAAGTCCCTTGAGTTCTGCCTCCTCGAAACCCCTTATCTCACCACTAACCACCACCGCCTTACCTCATTTAACCTTCTAATTATGAAAAACTGTTTTAATTTGCTACTCTGTGGAATCATTATGTCCACAACATTGCAATGTGTCAAGGTAACAGCTTAAATGAGGTGATGGATCTTACAAATTTAAAGGGACACAGACCAGAACAGATGGCTAAATAAAAGCAAAGAGGCCAGTCACCCATTAAGTAAACAGGTAAGAACCTTTTCTATCGCCATCCGGTAGCTTGTTGCAAAACAGCAGTTTTCTTTGAAGGAGACCCAGATGGGATTTGTGCCTTTTGTCTACTCCCGAGCTCAGCACGGCTCTCTGGTTCTCCTGCTTGCTGCACTGCATTGCATGGCTGGGGGTTTGGGGACAAAGGCACAGAGGGCCTTTCTGAATTCGCTGATCTCATGTAGCCACACATACATAGTGCATACATGAGAGGAAAATAAATCAACCATTTGGGGAGAAACTTCAAAATGGAATGAAATCACAGTTGTAAGAGTCTGCTCCCTAGTAATCCATGTCTGCCTCCCATGTTTTATCAAAGGGAACCAAGTAATGAGCACAGAGAGGATGAGGGGAGCAAATGGAGAGCAGAAGCCAGACAGACTCCTTTGTGCTTGACCTGGAATCATATTCTGCAGTGGGCAGAGGTGTTCCTTTCATAGCTCAGGCTTTGCCTCGACCAGACTCTTTGCCTTTCTTTACGTTTCAATATTCTTCTTTAACATGAAAGCATTCTCAGAGTGCTGATATAAAACCACCCTGAAATTTCACTAGAAAAGGTATCATTTCAAGCACATTCTGTACTTCAGACAGCAAGGACAACAGGACGCCACACTGACATGCATCCTTCCAGCAGTCATTCCTGCCAAATCATGACCTTGAGTTTCAGCAATTACAGTAAAGCCCGTGGGTGAGGCTTTGGGAAGTCTACCATACCAGAATGCAGTGAGAATGTGTGTGTGTGTGTTTGCGGGAGGGATGTGGGAGATGCGGAAGTAACAAAATACTAATACATATGATATATATGAATGTATTTACTCCTCTAAGTCACTCATTGATCCCATGCTCTGTACAGACTTGGTGAGGTGCTGAAAAAGCAGAAATAAAACCCTAAAAGACATGAAATGATGCCTCCAGACAGTCACACCTTATTGCAACTGGCAAGTAAACAGAAGGGTAGAATGCCACACATCAAATGGGGTAATGGAGGTTATGCACAGGGCACTGTACCAGCTCAGAGGGAGTGGGAAGGGTTGTGCGGGGGACAGTTCAGGGAATGCTTGTTTGGGGAGGCAGCATTCAAAAGGAGTCCTGAAGAATGAGGAGGAGTTAGACAAGTGAAGATGGAAAGGGCATTCCAGGCAGAGGGAACAGCATAGACTAAGGCCTTTGGTAAAGAGCACATAGACTATGTGGTGGGAGATGATGGTAGGGAAGTAGACAGGGTTCAAATCCAAACACAAAAAATAGTAAGCCAAATACATTCAGTCAGATGCAATTATCTGTCCCATCCATCTTACGTTAGGATAATGAAAGGATAAATGCATACAAGTGCTATGCTTTATAGTTCTAAGACGTTCTTCACTTCCCAATCAAGTGAAAATGTATCAATCACATCATCTTATTTGAAATTGCCTTCTAACACACCACGATGCCTTGTTTCCAGTTACTTAAGTTTATTCCATCAGTGACTTGTTCAAGCAATTGTTCTAAGTCCAGCAACACTCAGCAAATTAGAAGACTCTACCTATTTCTCTGCTCTATGTCTAACAATCTGTTTATGGAAGCGATCGCTGCTGCCTTTACTGAAGTAATCGGGGCATCTCCTAGATCCAACAACCAGCAACTAGGTAAGAAAAAACAACAATTAAGTACTCATCAAGTTTATGATGTATAAGACTCAATCTGACAAACTTTCCATACTGTAAATATAGGCATTAAATTTAATAGGCCATTCCTCTAAGATCAGAAGTATGAACTTAGGGGCATCTGGCTGGCCCAGTCAATAGAGCATGTGACTCTAAATCTCAGAGCCGTGAGTTCAAACCCCGCATTGGGCAGGAAACCTACCTAAAAAAAAAAAAAAAGTATTAACTTAATACAACGGGTGGAAAATGCACCGTTTTGGCACACAGTGAGTACTCAAAAATGGGAGATGTTATCATCATAACTACTAATTGTCAGAGCCTTGTTGGCTGGTAGCCATTTGGTAAGAATTGGCCAGCCCATGTGAATGCATGATAAAAACTTAGAGATATCTTTTCTCAAATATTCCAAGCAGCTGCACACCCTTGAACTATTCAGTCCACCCGAGCTCTGAGAGAATGTCACTGTGCCCAAATAGATCTGATGAATTGTTTTAGGGAAAGCTTTCTTCTTCTTTGTTCCTCATTTTGGGCAAGTCTGAAGGAGCCTTTAACAGCTGAGACATTTAGAATTTAATCCCCTCTGTGCTGCAAAAATATGCGTCAAAAATGTGGCATTCCAGTTGCTTGCTCTTTAGAGTTGGAATATCACTTATCAGACTTATAGCAGAAATACCTATTTCAAAATAAAACCCAAAGAGAATTCATGATTTAGGGAGAAAACAATTGCAAATATTTGTACCTAGCAAATTTGCAAGCTATATTAATGTTTGTATGTTTTTATTCTTTCTGCCACAGAATTAGTCTTTAACCTCAGGATAAAGTCTTTACCTTTTAATTTAGTCAGCTGCTAGGTTTTTTGTTTCTTTTTCATAAATGATTAACAATAATATAAAGCTGTATTTTTTCATTTAAATAGTATTATTTAATTACCAAAGTAATTGCTTTCCAGGGTAAAACTGTATAGATTTTGTCCATATGCTGTCATTTATCAATAATAAATATTTGTGTTGACTGTTTATTTATATCAGTGCACAAACCCTTCACACCTTGACAAGTGCTTACCCATTACATATGTGTGACCTTATCAAATACAAATTCTTCTCCCATATAGAAAATTGTATCATCAATTTAATTCTACCTTGTGTCATTGGCCAAGCTCTAAGTGTGGTTCTCCCAAAATACAATAAAGCTTCTTCTCATTTGTACAAGGATGAATTAGCAAAGCTCAGAGTATATAGATAAAATCTTCATTTGTTTTATTTATCTACTGAATCAACAAACTGTATCCTGCTTATTAAACTATAATGAACTCTGGGGAAAATATCACCCATTTGTTGGGAGGGGGTGAAGAAAGGGAGGTAATAACAGGGGGCCAGACCTAAATCGGTAGAGTCCGTACTTAGGCAGCATAGCTAGTGATAGAATCATTGAGGTCATCAAGAAGAGAGCAGTGAATGTCAAACAAGGTCAACATAAGAGAATAAGCAGCATTTCAGAACCCACAAAACTGCTGAAGAAAATGTGATGACCTAAAAGAAATATATTTTGGGAGTAGGCTTTGAGGAGGGCAGAAGGAGTGGAGCTAGAGAGGCAGAAAGGGGTCTGACTATGGAAGGCCTTGTATATCATGCCAAGGAGTCTGGACTTACACCCTAGAATCCAAAGAAGAGGTCTAAGTGTGAGATAGACAGGATCAGATTTGATTTTGGGAAACTCACTCTGGACATGGTGTGGTCAATGGATGAGGACATGGGAAAGACCCTTTTGGGAAAGACAGTGACAAGAGCAACATGGACCACTTCATCACTAATACACATTCAATTCTCAACATGAAAATGGCAATTGCTACTTTTAGTGATTGGCTTTTCTTGTCCTAGTAGGGGCACTAGGATTAAAGTCCAGATATAGTGTGTATGTATGAACAATCATCATAGTCATAATAGAAGATAATATTTAGTGAGTGTTATTAGTTGGAGAAACGCTTCTGCAATCCTCATTTTCCAGACAAAGAGATGTAGAGAGTTTGAGTGACTTGCCCAAGGTCATAGAGCAAGAAAATAATAAACACAGGCATTTAACTTAGATATTCTGACTCCAAAGCCTGTGATCTAGTGTATGAACTAAGTCATTAATTTTACTCATACCAAAGGGAACACTCTTAGAGGACTGGTTCAGAAATTTTAAAAACTGGTAATAACCCTAAGTAGATTTTGTAATTCATTTTGTCAATAAACAAAATAATTAATATGGAAAATTAAGTAGGCTAATCTGAAGCATGATAATTATATTTACCTCAAAATCAGTAACTTGTGAGCAAATTTAATTCTGGCTTTATTCCCAGTACTAAAAAGACAACTTCAGGGTACCATTGGTTAGCACTCAGGGAAAATAAAGCAATTATTCTTTCACTTCTGCTGGAGAATATTAGGTGCCCTTTGGCAATCAATAGTATGGAGTCCTATTACTAGCAGTTTGCAGGAACCAACATGATCAAATGGACAAGTCTTCCTTTCTTAGCTCCACTTTTCTGCAGTCCTTCTATTCAATGAAGATGCAGCTAAACAGCATAATGCCGATCTTTCATTAAAAAAAGAAAAATTAAGTAGTAGACAACCTTCAATATGGTGACCTGCTTTAAGAATTTGGAACCCATGTCAACATGTCACCATCAGACACAGGTACAGTCCAGTAAGAATTACAGATCCAACAAAGAAAAACCAAGGCAGTAGAGTTCTCAGGGGCACCATGGTCATAGGGAGAAATCATAGGTGGCCAAAATTTCTTCAGGGATTTTATTGCCCAAAGGAGACTCCCTATAGTTGCAAACACTATAGAGAATTTCAAGTTCACATGGGCAGTATGTGTCATCTGTCAGATGACATGATAAGAGGTCACACTGAACTTTCTAACACCTATATTAAAACCATAGTGAAAACTGTCAGTGGATATTTTATATGCCCACACATCTTTCTTATTTTATTTGAGGAGGAGACTTAGGTTTTCCTGTCCTGATTTGATTTTCAGACGCTACAATATCAAATGAAAACAATCATGGCTACATTGACTGAGTTTGTTTCATTTTGAAAAATTATATAAAACCAGTTTATCTCATTTTGCCTTTCATCTTTATCATACTGCTTCAGCGTATGTCCCTTTCACGTGGCAGAAGGGAATCAAAATTCTCCAGAAACACAAGATAGAGCTGAAGATTGGTACTGAGTATGCAGAATGAAGGGACCCAGAAAGCAAAGTCTCTCAGTGTGGCTGTGCAGATAGACACACAGAAATTCAATCCAAAGGGCCAGTTCTCATGATAAGAACATCAGAGATCGAGAGAGATAGCCCTGAAGTTACCTCTTTTTTTCATTAAATTCTTGAGCTTAGGGGAACAAATATCTTCCAGTCTGCCTGTTATTGTCTCTCTCTACCCCTGGCATTCTGTGGAGGGAAGAGAGGTACTAACTAACCAGAGATGATGAAGATACTTAGGTAACCAGACCGGGTGATTTTGTTTTATTCTCTGCCACCTTATAGAACAGTGGCCTTTTTTTTGGTTTCTGCAAACACCTACTTAGCATTTTCACTCTTACAGAGATGAGTTTGTCTCTTAGAATCCAATTCTTACTTTCAAGGTGTTCAGGACACAGAAGTGGAACATAAGGATAAATTCGGGTGATCCTGGTGTCATTAGTGAGGGAGTCATCCCCAGAGGCATCATGATAATGATGAGAATGACAACCATGAAGACGATGATGGGACCCTTTATTTTTCTGTGAATCTACACAATGTTGATATTGCACAGCATATATCTTTAAAAACAGTTTCAGACCTGTCACCCCACATGATTCTCCCTATAACCAGTGAAGTAGGAAGGGAAGTGTGGATGCTTGGAGGTCTCATGTCCCATCTGTCGTTTCATCCTTCCCTGTTTCAGGCTGTCATATCAACATTCTCTAAAGTCCCTTTGCTACCCAGTTCCTATGACTTTGTCCAGACTGCTCCTCACTGCACCCTGCTATTTTCTATCATCCTCATCTCTACAAGTGCAAATGCAACTCAGCTCAAATGGCATATCCTCCTTAAAGCCTGTATCCCTCCCTGGCTTCCAGGTGGTAAATGAGGGTGAGATGAGATGGGGTGGATGGAGAAGGAAGACCAAGGAAAGAAGAAAGGAGGAGGAGGGAGGGAGAGGAGGGGCGGGGAGGGAAAGGTTCCCCTAGAATTTTGATTGTAATAATTCCTTGAGGGGCACCTGGGTGGCTCAGTCAGTTAAGTGTCTGACTCTTGATTTTGGCTCAGGTCATGATCTCAGGGTCATGAGATCAAGTCCCGTGTTGGGCTCCATGCTGGGTGTGGAACCTGCTTAGGATTCCCTCTCTCCCTCTGCCCCTCCCTGTCCTGCTCACTCTCTTTCTCTCTCTCTCTCTCTCAAAAAAAAGAATTCTTTGAGAATGTGAACAAAGTCTGAGAAACATTTCAGGCAGCATAAAGCACAACATCTTGAATTTGGAAGATATTCAGTAAATATGTGTGGAAGAAATAAAAGAACAAAGGACACAAGGAAGGATAGAAGATTAAAAACTATTCTCTTCTAAATTCAAGTGGTAAATTATCTGAAAAGTTTAGATTGGATCATTAGGGGAAATACATTTTCTACATACCAAATCATTCTTTTCTTTTTTCCTCTTAATTTACCTCACTTGGACATTTCTGTGTAGATTTGATGTGGGTATGGTGGGGCAGTAGGGCAAAAGGGTTAGGGTGGGGGAATATAAAGTAAAAAGAATCTGAGTATTCTGAGAACTGCCTTGAGGTTCCTGGTAGAACTTGCAGATCTGAACAGGAGTAGACCTGCTTGGAACAACATCCTTTATATGGTACATAATGGAAAGATTTAACAAATTCACGTTTTTTAGAAAACCGACTCTCGTCTGAGGATAACACTTAAAACATGAATCTCACATCAGGGAATGAGAAATGGATAACAAAAGAACACCCTGTCCTAGTAATAAGGACCATGGCACATTTTCTAAGGGGAGGGACTCGTAAGAGCCTTGTTGTGTACTCAGCAAGTACTTTACAGGGATGAAACAGATTCTCACCAGCAGCCCATATGCAGACTTGGGGTGGTCAAGTAACACTAAATAAGTCAATGTATGTCACCTTGAGCATGTTGCTCTTAACATTTTGTGCCTCTGTTTTCTTACCTGAAACTGGAGAAACAATAATACCTACCTAACATGATTGCGAACAGCTGAAATTATTTACTACATATGAAGAACCCTAAAAGCACTGACTGGCAAAGGAATAGCACTCAGGAAATGTTAGCTCTCATTGTTAATGGTATTTCATCAACTCTGAGATACCATCAATTGTTATTGTTAGATACACGGTTACTCTAAATATGGTAGGAAAGTAAAGCAAGATGGGGAGTCTAATAATAGACCTCTGCGAAAAGCTAAGACACCCAAATGTTATTTCCTTAAAGTTAGAATATCCCAGAAATAAAGCTGCCATTCAGAAAGGCACAGCAAGAGAAGAGAAATGAAAAATAATCTCCCCTGAGAATTCGAACCACAAGCAGGTACTCATGCAGGTTTTTGATACAAGTTCACACTACTGGTGTGATTCAAGAAAAATCTCAGTAAATAATTCAATTTAAAGTGGTCTCAGGTTGGTAGTATCCCCAGGTGACCATTTGAAACAACACAAATCCTATCTGGGGGAATTTAACTTTGTTGCAGGCTGGTGGTGACTGCAAGGTAGTATTGAGAATACAATGCACCTCACTCTCAGATGTGTGGAAAAAAACATTTTAAAAAATCAATGAAGTATGGTGGTATCAAAGTCATTGTCATCAATAAGATCATCATCATCATCATCGTCCTAGAGAACAAAGAGAATCAGGAAAGGGGCCTGGATTATTCTAAACACCTATCCCTTACCTTGTACTCTAAAGGAGCTGTAACCATAAGTCCACAAAGAAAGAATAAGAAAGGGTCTTGGAGTTGCCCTGGACATTGGAATTCACCAACATAAAAGCTTTTTTGTTTTTTTCTTTCTTCTTTTTGAAATTGCACAAGTTAAAACATATTTTTTTAAAGCCTCCTTTTTTTGAACATGGTTCGATGACCTTGGGCACATATGCATGTCATACCCCAACTCCATGCACAGCTGCCAACTGGGGCACCTCCCGGCATCTCTCTAATGAATGGACACTGTCCTCTTGTAGGTCAAAGTTGGACCCTGGCAGAGGAACACACATATTCAAAAGTCTTTGCTGAACACAAGTAGAGCTTTGCCAGAGCACAGGTCTCATGGTGATAATAAATTGTACTGTGCCAAGAACACTTGAATTTCTAAGTGAGACAGTTGTCCTATCAATTCTGGGCTTAATATTGCATTGGCAGTAATTTGAATCGCTCATGCAACATAAAGCATATTAGTTTATTACTTATAGTCTCCTGTGCTAGGATAGCAAAGGCAGAAAGGTCTCCACTATTAAGCAGAAGCCTGGAAATATATGCACAAAGTCTGTTATCAGCGAGTCTTTTATCTACATTTTTATCATAAACAGATCAGTCAATGCCATATTTCCAACAGCACACAAGCCTTCTCTATTTAGATGTCCCAGAGGCAACTCAAATTTAATAGTCTAAATCCAAACTGATGATATCCTTCCTCCCCAATCCACTCTCCCTCATCCACCCTGTCCCTCTAAAAGCTTTGGAGCCCCAATAACTAAAATCTCAACCTACTTAGCTATATGACTTTGAGCATCTTAATTTTCTTTGTCCATGTTCCTCATCTGTAAAATATTCAAGTCATTATGAAAATTAAATAAGGACCTAGCTTAGTGCCCAGCACAGAGCAAGCAATCAATGAGCATTATTTCCTTTGTTTCTCCATGTCTTAGGTCCCCTGCCCAAGCTATTCTGCCTTCATGGAATGTCTTCTTCTTCTTTCCTTTCTCTGTGAGGAAAACTGCTAAGTATTCTTCAAGACCAAACGTAAGCGTCACCTCCTGTGAAATGATCCTGACCCTCCAGGAAGATTGTAGAGCACTTTGTTCTGAGGCATGCTTCAGATCATCTGGTAATTATTTGATTACCCATCCCCCTCCATCATTCAACTGAATTCAGAAAACACATGGCCTCCCCACATTCTCCGCAGACAGACATTGTTAATCAACCCCAGCACCATTTCCCCGAGTCAGGATGCAACTTCAGAATCCTATCAGCACAATGCTCCAGGCAGTAGTGGTATTCATCAATTCAACCAGGTATATTTACCTCTGTAGCACAAGACAAGTATCAGCTTGAGGCCAGAACTGTGCCTTGAGAAGTCTGTAACTAACGTACCACAGGTAAGGGTGTCATCCTCTCTAGGCCTTGATTTCTTCATCTGTATGATGGAATGTCTTCGGGATCCTAGTGGGCTCTCCTATCTAATGACACTGTAATGATGACCCAGGGACCCTGGCTGGCCAGAGCTGGTGTCACTATGAGTGAGTCTTGCAGCATGGCTGTGTACATGGCCCCATGCTTGGTCAAGGCCCATTTCTTATCACAGAGTTAGGCATGCCTTCAGAGATGCACAAATTGCAGCCAGTGTCTATGTAATTGAAATAGGAATGCGGTGAGAATTTATGATCTTTCAACTTGGTAGATAGCATCTGCCACTTACCAAAGCCTACCTGATTGCAGCTATTTTGCACCTGCTGAGAAAAAGTTTGCAGTAAAAGAGATTATTTCCTTTTTAACCCTTATCTGAAAAGAAGCTTCCATCTTTTTTCACCCAGTTGTATAGAACAGAATCAGGTTTAGTATCTCATATGTATACAGACAGACGGGTTAACACACCTGGTCAAACCCTTCCCACTAAGCCTCAGCACTCCCAGTAGGAGTTTCAAAACTGGGAGTTTAGTTTGTTGAAAATCTGAAATCGAAGCGAGGAGAGTATGAAAATTTTCATTTCTGTGCATATTTCTTAAAAGAAGAAAATACCTGTTTTTGTATCTTATACGTGGCTGCATAAAGATGAAGATTTCTCTGGAGATTATTTGTTGGTTCTACAAGTCAAACATTCAGATTTGTTCAGTAAACATTATCATAAAAAATATTCACAAAGGTAGTCCCAGGGGAAGACTTACCAAAAAATAGATGTGAAGAAACAAGGGCCATTTCTGAAAATTTAGAAACATTCAGTTGACAGGAGTTAACTTGTGCTAGATCTTAATATTTTAACTGAAATCTCAGCTCCAGTGCCCAAGACCCAGCCCGGGTGGGTATCCTATCGTCAGACTTAAGTCCCAAAGATTGAACTTTCACAACCGCTAAAGGGCTTGGCCCATGGTACACTGAACCTCCCCTGCGTATCTCTGTGCACTGTTGCAATGGCTGGCTTAATATCTCTTTCCCTGCTAGATTGTGAGTTCTTGAAAAGCAGAAACTCTATCTGTCTTGTTCCCCAGTGCTTCCCCATTGGCAAAGGCAGCCAAGCCAAACCTCAAAAACACACAAGTAATCTGTGAACAGTCCTGAAAGGCCGAATGAGGATGGCATGGCTCACCGCCTTCAACCATGTGTCCATCGGCCTGCCCAGCCACAAGGGCAAGGCCACCTCCATAGTCCAGCTTATTCTCAAGCACCTAAACATCAATTCATAAGGCGATGCTTAGGAAACACTGCCCGTTCACTTAATAACAATATTTACTAAATTTGGTAATTTCCCAAAGTGCAAGGTTGGCCCATAGTCTTAGCATACTTTGATATCTCCTTGCATTTCATTGTTTTTAGGCAATATTTTGAAAATTAGGTTTTGCTTCTGATTTTAACAAAGGCTTTTCTTCTTGAGCAAAATAGATGAGCAGTCAGCAAGATAGGGCAGCTTTTATCTGCAAAAAAAAAATCTGCCTTTCAGCAGAGCAGACAATATGAGCAAAACGGAGGCAAACACATTAAATATTTCCTATATGTGAATTGTGATTCTCTTCTCCCATGGGATGTGCAAATGGCAAGATAGTTTATTCCTATGCGGCATGGATAGCAGGTCCTGAATACTTCTGAATATATCACTTTTATAACCTTTTATACTGAATTACTGTGAAAGAAAAAATACTTTTGTGAGAATTCAAAATCAAAATACTTTAGGAGCTTTTAGAATCCACCTCCTGGACATAAAGAAAAGCTTAAGAAAACAAATAATTCTGTCCTGCTAAGGGATACTAGATACCACTCCCACTGAGCGAGGGCCCCTTCACAGAAGGGAAGACGTTATCAAATATTTATGCTGACTTTCAGGGAAAACGGTAAGTGTTCTATTTGGGGTTCAGGTACTCTCAGTCCTGTCCCTGCTGCTTTAGAACTTGCCACGTAATGGACAACATTTGCCCCAGGGAGCTCTGACCTATAACATTTCGGCACTGCTTGCTCCTTCTGGAACTTGGCTTAAGAAGCTTCCTAACGGTGTGTTTCACTAGAAATCTCAACTCTCCACGATCTATTCATCGTAAAGATTCTTGTTCAAGATATACCATTTCTTATTTTTTCAGACACATTTTTGGTAGATTACCTCTTTTTTCCATGCAATCAAGAACTCCACAAACCAAAAGAAGTTCTTTCTATCACATTCGTTCCAAGCTTGTCATTTTCTATTTAAGTGAGAGAAAGTTGTCTCTAGGGAAAGATAAAGTCCAAGTGGCTTAGCATGTGATAAGAGCCCCTTTATGATCTGACCTCTGACTATTTGTCCAGCTGAGCCCTCAACCTCCCCAAGATCATACTTCATACTTTAGCTATACTGAGCATCTCATGGCTCTTGGAAGTTTCCATGCTTTTTGATGGCTTCATACATGGTATAGTTCCTCCCACCTAAAATTTCAGTTCAGTAGGGTGCCTGGGTAGTTCAGTCAAATGTCTGCCTTCGGCTCAGGTCATGATCTCAGGGTCCTGGGATCGAGTCTCGCAACAGGCTCCCTACTCAGTGGGCAGTCTGCTTCTCGCTCTCACTCTCCCTCTGTACGCTCTTTCTCTCTCTCAAATAAATAAATAAAATCTTTTAAAAAATAAAAATAAAATTTCAGTTCGGAAAAAACAAAGAACAAAACCAAAAAATCTGTCTTCAGACACTAAAAAACTTCACTTCCTCTTGGATATTTCCCCTAGCCTTTCTATTGTTTTATCAGGAAATTAGTTCCTAGATTCATGGGGAGTTCAAAATCAGAGAGTAAATGGATGGATG